CTAAGAACTTATCCAGGAACTCTATTTCTAGATCCTTCTAAAGAAATCTTTAAGTACTTCAGCTGTAGGAAACAAACAAAGATAATACCTTTTAGAAGTTGTATTGGTTGGACTTTATTTGCTGGGAAAACTGTCTTTTAAGCATTGTTGATAACATGGCTATGTTGTTGTTGTTTTTTTTTCAGTGAAGGAAATAAGTAGATGTTAGGGTTGTAAAAAATGTTGGGAAAAAAATCCCAAGAGAGTCTTTTAAGTTACCTTTATCTGTATTTTGCAGATAACGCCTTTACTTAACAGGGGCAGCAGTACACGGATCTCTGCCAAGGGGAAAAAAATGAAACAGTATTTTCTATAGATATGGTTAGAACAGAATGATAACATGGCTTTTGATTATCTATGAGTTCTCAGATTGTGTATCAACTTATTAAAGTTGTGGAGAAAAGATTGCCTGCAAATAAAGTAAGTAGTACTGCCCAGCAGTAGGTCAAAAGAAATCCAATGACAGTAGATTCCCTCTGTACCACTGGAAAGTCACGCAAACTACCACACTGCTTGAGAAGAATGCTTGTGGACAGCCACTGACCACCCATCAGTTGGATGGTAACCAGCATCCAATGAACCAACAGATGGTTTTGATGGTAATCTCATTATGTTTATATGTCATGATTTGAAAATCTGGGCAGCTACTAGTTCCTTAGTTTATTTTTCTTTTTAAAATTGCTCCTTTGCAGGCAATTAGTAAATTTTAATATAATTTTTTCCTTCATAATTGATACTCCATGCATTCAGAAAGAATAAACTGTGTTATTTTTTTATCAGGTTTGTAGTAGTGGACCGAGCTTGGTTTCACTTACAAGTTCACATTTACTAAACAAAATGGAAAAAAATTGTAATATACATATCTGTAGGCAGATAAATCAGAAAATACTTATTGCAGGCCTATCAGCCTTACACAGCCATTTGATATTTTGTTCCCCATACCTTTTACACTACAGGTTTGAAGAAAGCACCAAGATGAATGTGAGGTCCAGGTGTGACTCCTTTGCCTTCTTTCAGCTCAATTCCAATTAAGCACTCAAAGCAGTCTATGTAACTGTTACATTTCCTAGATTGGAAGTTTTTAGTCAGTAGTAAAAAGAAAATTTTTTATTTCTAGTTCTTTAGTACCATGAGAACCACAGATGAATGCAAATTTGGAAGAACTTGGTCAAATCCTGCTTCCTATTTGAAGATTAGTAAGGAAAATCCCTTCTTGAAAGGCACTAACAATTTGACAAGAAGGAGAAAATAAAACATCTATCTATCTATCTATACTTATGCTAAGGCAAAGAAGGGTAGATGATAGATGATAAGGAAGGGTACAACAGGAGCTGAAAAAATAAATGGAAAAAGAATTGTTTAGGTCATAGAACTGGTGATGGATCTTGAGTCTCAAAGTTCAGTGTGTACTAGAATTTCTTGGAAGGCTTCTTGGAGCACAAATTGTCAACCTCATGCTTAATTTTTGATTTAATAGATTTAGGATGGAATCCATGAATCTGCATTTTTAATACATTCTTAGCAGATTCTGATACTGTCAGAAGCAACATCTAGAGGAACAGTGCTTTAGAGGTGGAAAAGGAGCACAGAGAAGGAAAATGAACCTAATTGAGGAGCATGAGATTTGAGTACTTTGAATAGCAACAATAGTGGACTTTCTTGAGTTATTTCAATTTTGCAAATAAGGACATTAAGTTTTGTGAGTCCAGAAGTACCAGCTGAAACTCATAGAGCTAAGAAGTGTCAGAATGATAATTTAAGATCATTGAGGGCAGAGCCCCCTTGTCTAACTGCTGGGACTAATAATAGCAGGTAGCTGACACAGCATTTGATTAAGAAGTCTTGGGGGTTAAGGATTAGGATGCAGGTTGCAGTTGCACTTAAGAGGGTTTAATCTCCATGAAAATGCAATAAATCTATACTGAACATTTTGAGCAGGAATAATTCACTGAGAGACTAGAGGCATGGCTCAAGTGGTGGAGTACCAGTTGAATCAGTAAGTCAAGTAAGTCTGAGGCCCTGAGTTCAAATTCTGTTTCCCCTCCAAAGGAATAAACCACTGAGCACTTTTTCTATAGTTAGGGTCGGAAGTATAATTTCATAAATAAACAGAAGAAAATCAGCAGATAACATGTAAATCAGAATGATGAACAAAATCAGAAGGTGGTGAGATGAGAAGAGATGGTAAAGGATGGAAACCCATTTATAAGCATTCTATATCATCCCAAGTCAAAAGAAAGGAAGAATTAAATGAAAACCTTTTACTTGGAATAAAATGAAGTTTATGGAGATATAATCTATATTGTGGCTAGATGACAATGATGACTTCTGATCTTTTCACAATGGATTCCTTGATTCACAAGATTTAATTTATAAAGCAAACTGCACTTAACTAAACCAAGATAAATGTCTGAGATATTATTTCTCCTCATATGACAAAAATACAGATTATAAGTAACAGCTCATTATCATCAAGGTTTCAAAATGATTGCTCTGGTTGTGTTAAGAATAAGCATCAACTTTGAACAGATGAGTAACTATTTTAAAATATATTGCTACTTTTGGTAGCAGATGTTAGTCATTAAGTCCGCATCAAAAGTCAGTTATTGAGTCAGGTGCTGGTGGCTCACACCTGTAATCAAAGCTACTCAGGAAGCTGAGATCTGAGGATTCCAGGCAGGAAAAGTCCATGAGACTCTTATCTCCAATAAACCACTCAGAAAACCGGAAGTGGAGCTGTGGCTCAGGTGGTAAGGTGCTAGCCTTGAACTGAAGAGCTGATGGACAGCACCCAGGCCCAGAGTTCAAGCCCCACGATGGACAAAAAAAAAAAAAAAGTCAGCTATATTTGTTCGCAAATGGATCCACATCCATTAATTAATTAATTAATTAACTAATTTATTATGCCACTACTGGGCCTTGAACTCCAGGCCCTGTGCTCTTGTTTGGCTTTTTCTATCAAGTGCTCTACCACTTGAGCCCTCCCTCTCTTCTGGCTTTTTGACGGTTTATTGGACACTAGAATCTCATTGATTTGCTTGCCCAGGCTGGATCCACTCAGATCTCAGGCTTCTAAGTGTCTAGGATTAAGACATGAATCATTGGCACCCAGATTATTTATATGATGAACATTTTAAATTCAAGTTCTATTCATGTTTTAGGAATTCTTTTGAGCTCATCACTTTTCATTAGAGGACTAGGGATGTACCTCAGTGATAGATCGCTTGCCTAGCATTAGAGGACTAGGGATGTACCTCAGTGATAGATCACTTGCCTAGCATTAGAGGACTAGGGATGTACCTCAGTGATAGATCGCTTGCCTAGCATGACTGAGCCCGAGTAGGTTAGATCCCCGAGTACCATGAGAGGTAGAAAGAAGACAGTGAAACATTTTAGGAAATCCTGAAGTAGTAAATGTGTTACCATGCTGATGTAAAATTCAGCCAAAAGACCAACAAAAAGCAATTTTAACATTTCTGAAAATATAAGATTTTGCTACCTAACAATATACATGACTTGAATGAGTAGCAGTCAAAGAAACTGCCTAAACTTGGGTTGGTGTGTTTCAGAGTTGGACATTGAACAAGACCAAAAGATTAGGAAAGGATTTCCCTAGGAAATCCTTACACAGAGTAAGATGGCATGTTGAAATTTCACTAACTAAAGATCTTATGGAACAATATTGCCACCCGTCCATCCTTAAAAATGGGAAAAGAGGAATGAGACAATGGTGGGATATGCATATAAACCCAAACACTCAAAAGGCTGAAGTAAGAGGATGTCAAATTCAAGGGCAGACTGGACTTCGTAGCAGATTTTAAGCCAAACTCAATGACACTCTACAGACATGAGAAAGCCCTGTCTCATAGCAAAACATTTTTTAAAAAAATCAATAAACCTACCAACCAACCAAACTAACAAACAATAATTACAATGGCAGCAAAAACCCAAGGAAACAGAAACAAGAAACACTGGAAACTTTTGGAGTACTGGAAAAGCACTTGATATTTCTTGCAAGTGTGAACTATCTTAACCTGAATGTTTTTGGGGTGCAATTGTCAGACAAAATAGAATACTTCTAATAGTGATCTAAGAGGTCATGTTATACCTCTATTGGTCATATTTCCAAACCCCATAAATGGGGTGGAATTTGGGGGGGGCATAAACATCTTGATTTCAGATGTAGCAGTGGCAGCTCATTGCCTGTGGCCATGAAGGAGTTAAGCCGCAGGTCTGTCATAGCTGCAGCCTGGAGAAAAGGCCGATCCAATTTCTGCACAATGGGATCCGGTTTCTTCTTCATAGTAGCATTCAGCCTGGATGTCAGTCATTCTCATCCTATCAAAAGCCAGGGCGTCTGAGGTGGGAAGGAGTCATTGCAGGAGCAAGTATTTCTCAGAAGATGTGGGAGAGAAGAGTGTCCCTCCCTATGCTTTGGTTTCTAATCTGTGGCAAATTGCAAACAATAGTGTGTATTTAGAAATTGAATTTTGAGCAATTACCATCAAAGGTATTGACTGTGGCCTGCAAGATAGCTGCTGGAGAAAATAGTGGCTGAAGCCAACAACAGCTCTGACACATAGTAGGGTAGAAAGTGGCACTAGAGCCCAGGCCCAGGGTTCAAGCCCCACGACCTACAGAAAAAAAAAGAAAAAGAAAAAGTGGCACTACATATAAATGAAGGAATATCAGCAAATAATATGTAAGTGACAATATTGGAATAAGAAGGACTACAATGGTTATTTTAATGTTCTTACCCACATGTAACTAAAGGAGGTACCACTCTCTCTACTGAGGAAAAATTGGAAATAATGCTGAAAAGGCATCACTCCAAACTTCATTATTTACAGATATATGGATGTTTGCATAGAGTTGTTTAAATTAGCCAATAGAGCTCTGTTTAATTTATTCCACAGTGTGGGCTGAGTCATGCACAATGATCATTTTCATTTTCTTTCTAGATTCCAGGATGCGCAGAATCTTCCAAGTGTCCCTAAGTAGAAGAGGTGGGTGGATCCAAGGAAGAATTGGAGCCAAGCCATTCAAACACAATACGGCAAGATGGGAGGGAGAGGTCATCCCTGTGCTGTAGTGCTTCAAGCTGAGAGCAGCACTTCAAGCTCTGTGCAGCTGACAAATCCAAACCCTGGACCAAGGAGAGCTTCAGGAATTGACCAATAGATCAAGAGTGAACGCAGCTGGGCAATGCAAGTGATTCTATCTTCTAATTAAAGGGTTTCCTGTGCGTGTGTGGTTACCTGGCATAATTACTAAATGGTTTGCATGAAATAACATGTAGCATTCTGCAGTTACTGTGCAATTACCTTAAATCATCACCATGCAATAAAAAACACACAAAAAAAACAAAGAGAAAACAGAGAAGCTTTTAACAGCAATTTGTAGCAAAGATGTTTGCAATCAGAACACATTGCTTGTTGCCACTGGCTTTTGTGTTAATCGCCTCATTGCAAATTGGCTTTCCTTAATGTCTGGACACCAGTGACACAATCCTATATGTGCTTTACTCTTATATTCTATGATTTAAATTTATATAGAGCATGTCTGCACATATCGATTCTGTTTTTGTCTTTTCATTCATTGAGTTCCTTACTTCTTTTGTATTTGGAACCAGGGGAATTAGACTAGAGAACCCTGGAGCTGCATTCTGAAGCTATACATGAGCTAGTGTGTGGTGGCACATGTCTGTAATCTCACTATTGAGAATGCTCAGGAGGATTGAGAATTTGAAGCAAGCTTGAGCTACATAGTAATACCTTGCCTCAAAAATGAAACGAACCCCATATGGAAGTTTTCTGGAAAACAAAAAAGTCCATGAGACTCCTATGTCCCATAAACGACTCAAAAAATGCCAGAAGTGGCGCAGTGACTTAAGTCATAGAGCTAGAGCCTTGAGCACATAGAGACTCAGGAACAATGCCTAGGCCCTGAGTTCAAGCCTCAGGACTGGCAAAAAAATATGGAGCAAGGACAAATGGATATACATTATTGCCACCTGAATGAGTGATACAAGTGAAGTGGTTTGAAGTAAACTAGTTAGTGCAATGTTCTAGCAAAAGAAAAGATCAAATGCATGAGTGAAGATGACAGGGATCTTCTTTCTCCTCTTGGGACCATCCTCTGATGTGAAACCTATTCACTACAGAGAATCATGGGATGATAAGAAAGGTGAAGAAGAAAACAAAGTAAGTGCATTGTAATTATTTTTAAGATGTATTGTTCCTATTTTTCTACACTTCTGGACATATTTAGTACTTCATTATCTAAGGTAAATATATCTGTTCACCAGTCAGGAAAAGAGCTGACCTATAAGGACTGGATTTAAAAAAGGCAAATTCAGGACAATACAGCATACAGGTGATCTTTTCATGGTTTCATGATGCACAAATGTATGTGTGTGTGCATGTGTGCAATGTGTGTGCATGTGTGCATGCACATACACACATCTGTACACACATGTGCATGTGCTGGGGATTGAACCCAACTTCTCATGCATGCTAGGCAAGAACTCTGCCACTAAGCTACAGCACCAGCCTCCTTTTCTGAACTATTAGAAAAGAATGCAGAAGTTCTTATCCAGTCCACTGGGTGCCTATGATAAGATAAAGGCACAACTGTCAGTTTAATGTTCTTGTTTTGGGTCTCATTGAAATCTGTGAACATCTTTATTTTGGATTTATTCCCACAAGTTTGTTTTCCATAGCTCTAGGATACATACCTCATCTAATTATCATAATAACTTTATCTGATCTTTCAGTGTATTTAATCCAAAATCTATCTCAATTAACAACAAATTTGTCTATTAAGAGAAAGATTATATCATTTATATGTTAATTTTTTTGGGGGGGGTCTGGTCATGGGCCTGAACTCTGGGCTTGGGGCACTGTCCCTCAGCTCTTCAGCTCAAGGCTAGCGCTCTACCACTTGAGCCACAGCACCACTTCCGGCTTTTTTTTCCCTGCTTATGTGGTGCTGAGGAATTGAACCCAGGGCCTCATGCATGCAAGGCAAGCGCTCTACCACTGAGCCACCTTCCCAGCCCCTATATGATAATTTTCATCCCCCTGCAATATTATTAGCACACATTAATTGTGTGCTGTTTGGAACCTTCATTGTAATCTTTCCATACAATATACTTCGATGATATTCACCTTTTCTATTACTCTCTCTTATCTTCCTTCTCATGCTTTCCTTTCTAAAAAAATTCTTGTAATATCTTAAATAAGTTTCAATATGACCTTTCCATACATGGACTTAGTAGACTTCATTTATCTTTCTCCTAATTTTGCCTTGTTTTTTACGGTCTCATAAAATGTAATCCTAATGGAAGACAAAAAAACACATGTAAATATTCAATAAGCAAAAGTTTAAAAGCCAAATTAAGTTTACAACTTCATCTGCTTAGTTAAGAACACCTTTCCCTGCTGAACCCCAAGGCAAGAACTGTTTTTGTTGCTACAGATTCAAGTGGTCTCATTCCTAAAAAACAACAAACAAAAAAACAAAAAAAAACAACTTGGTTTCTCTGAAACAAAGATTTCCTCTTCTTTATAATAGCCAAACTTGTCATTACCTGGTAATCCAAAGGCAATAAAGTTGCATGGAACGAATTGGAAATTGAAAAGCTGAATTTGAAGTGTAAATAGTAAAGGCAGAAATTTAATGTAGGAGGAAAACATGAATTAACATTTTCTTCTGTGCACTTTTTCTTATTTGTATATTTATTTTAGTTTTCAGGTGACTTTCCCCAAATAGCCATAACGCTAAAAGTACGCTGGTAAATCTTGATCCTAAATTACATTTCCTGGAATATCCTTCAATCACAAGTTTCAGTGTAGGCCAAAGCCAAATTCACCCAGCACTGAGGTCCATGGAAATGAGTTAGAGAAAGTTACATGCTCAAGTTGTCTGCGTAAGTCTTCAGAGAAAGATTTACTTTCTAGAAAAAAAAAATATGATTGGACCAGTACTAGAGAAAAGGATTGAGATTGTGGCTGCCCCTGGAATCCATTGTTAATTCCTAGACTGATCTTTTTGAACAGAGGACTGGAACTGTTGTAGTAGACCTGCCAGAAAGGGGACTAGCAGCTCAGGCGGAGGGAGGCCTTGGCTTGGGGTACTGTGCTCTGTACATGAGCATTGCAGAGTTAGCAGACATTGGTTGAGGGTAGTTGCCTCCTATGGTATTCACCACAATAGGATGTGTGACCCAGTAACTGGGACAGAGGAAAAGGAGCAGCAGCCAAAGGTCCCCCAGAGGGCACTTCTTGAGTGCTTTTATTTTTCTTGAGAAGAACTAAGCCACTACCTATTATTTTGACAATATGTGGATTGTATCTTTCTAATCTGCACAGTCTCTTTGGATGTTGGGGAGGAAATGTCCCTCTGGAATGTCAATCAACTGATAACATGTGATTTGTTAAAGATTTACGGCATGTGAAACCCCATGAAATGTCACGGAAGGCTTCATTTGATGGGTGGGAGCAAGATGTGTGGTGCTGTGGTTTCAGTACATCCCCCGGGTTGGAAACTTACTTCCTCCGTGCTGCAGTTTGGGAGGTGGAGACCAGCAAGAGGGAGTGAGAGGCGTGGAGTCCTCACGAATGAATTGACACCTTTCTTTTGGAGGATTAGAGTACTTACTGCGAGAACCCACTGTGGGAAAGCAGCCCAGCCCTTGTGCTCTGGCTTTTCACATGTACCCACTCACCTTTCCACTTCTCTGTCTTGAATTGAAATCATACAAAGTCCTCTATAACATTCAGTCACCTGATGTTAGACTTCCCAGCCTTCAGAACTGTGAATCCAAAGAAATCTCTTTTATAATCTAAAGGAAGCTACAGAAAATCCATTATAAATGACCCATGTCAGGCACTGTGTCACAGAAACAGAAAGAGGAGGTAAGGCATATGGTGATTTCTTCCTGGCATTGACTGTACTCACGATTGTATAACCAGGACCATGGTGTTATGCAGGCGTCTTGATTGTTAAGGGCTGTTGTGACTAGTAAGAGTGTCTCTTAGACTTCCATTGAAAAGGCTAGCTAGTGCTTGGTCTCCATCAGCAAGAGCTTATGTAGAGAGTCAAAACACAGACAATTGATAGGTGAGAAAGACTGTGTCAGGAAATATAGCTTATCGGAAGACTATGCGAGGTGTAATTGCTTCAGGGCCAAAGATTGCTCAATTTTGTCCCCAAGATCTAGAAGAGTGGCAATCATTAAGTATTTGTCGAATGAGTGAATAAATAGACATACAATGAGGTCAGGACGGAGAATAGCCCAACACAACTGAATTTAGAATCATAAAACTAGAAAATGCCATTACCTCTTTACCAGGAAGGCAAGGAGGAATTTGGGTTCAGGATTAGCTGGACAGAAATGTTTAAACCAAGTCGTATGTGCTCACAGATACTTGTAATCTCAGCTATTTGGTAAACTGAGGCAGGAGATTGAAAGCTTGGGGACAGAATAGGCTACATAGTAAGCTTATGACAAGTCTAAGTCTGGGCTATGTCAAAAGACCTTACCTCAAAAACAGATTGAAAAAAAACCAAAACATACTGAGATCAAGGTTACTAAGAAAAATCGGCAATGCAGTTGGACTCCTTTTATTAATGTTAGTGATTAGCTAACAAAGATAACCAAACTATATAAGTTTTGGAATCCAAGAGCAGCTTAGTTGGGTGCTTAGAAGTTAACCACTCTTCAGTCTAATTTGAGGTTTCCTAGAGGGTGTTGTCTGGTTGCAGAATAGGGCTGTAATCATTTATGGTTTGTGCAGAATTAGAGTCTGCTTCCAAGCCTACTGTGATGTGGCTGTGAGTGGATTTCTGTTTTGTTTTGCATTTTTGTGGTCATGTGACTATTTCTAAAAATGTTATTCAAGCATGGTGCATGCCACAAGGGAGACCCCAGGAAGTAGCAGTTGGCATAGGGAGAGGGAGAGAGAGGAGAAGGGAAGGGGGTGGGTAGGGAAGGGACGGAACCTAACTAGAAGCCTCAGTCTTTTATAGTCAAATCCTAGATGAGACCTAGCACCTTCACTTTGTTGCTAGTGACTGTTCTAGAATGTGAGCAATGCGAGCAGAGGTGCTGAGGGGTCGTCTCAGAGGTTGACTACTGTAACAACTGCTATGGGCTGGACTTTCCCCACCCAAAAAATGTATTTCCACAGGAGCAGTAGACTGCTCCCAACCCTCCAGGAGCTTAGTCTACGTTGGGCTATACCAACATTTGCATATTCATTTTAAAAACATAAAGTGCCTATAAATTCAAAACAAAATCCAAAAGTTTCTCCTATACATTCCTACTATAAGAATTGAAATGGGGGAA